AAATGAGGAACAAAAAAGTTGATAAGTAGCGCTATCATTCTGATGATCAACATTCTTAACATTCTTTTTATATAAAATGCTTTCTGGATTCTTTCTTAATTCTAAAATTTAATCATATCGTGCTGAATATTTTCCAAGTGATAATAAGCGAGTACCAAAAAAAAGTGCATTGTGATAATCCTTTTTTCTATATAAAGAATCAGTAATTCGAATAATAGGACCAATATTAGAGTAAATAGGACAACTAAAATTAATATCTAAAAAATAAATTTAGAATAAGCCTAGCCAAATTAATCGTATTAAATTCGTGTAATAATGTTTTTTTTTTTTTTTTTTTTTTTTATTATTTTATACAAATGCTATCGGCCGAATTTTATTAATTTAAATAGTGAGAAATATTACATATTGTGAGAGTACAACTAGCTATATGTGCAACTTTAGATTGTTTAATTTAAGTAGTTCGCCTGAAGGTTCTACACTAGCTGCTATACCTGAAATCTATTTAAAAATTCTCTATTTAAACTCTCTAGCTATATGCTAATTCTAACTAGCTATTTTTATCGTAATTTGCCTAATTCTGTACTACTCCTATTTTGGAAGACGTCAACAGAGCTAACATTGGTCTACAAACTTTATAATTCGAAGCCTAGGCCTATCTCAGGTACCCCTTCACTAACTTCCTAATTGATGAGTGCTGTAGTATCTAAATATGCTATGCTATATCCCAATCTAGCTTGCATATACTCTTGTTCGATGTTCGTACAAACTCAGTTTCTACTGTAGTCTTTCACTAAGTTAGTCATCTGTACCTCCAGATATCACACAAAGTAGATCCTTCCAAATCTGTTGCTTGGTGTTGTCTGCTTTGCCGCTGGATATCACACGAGACAGATCCTCCCAAATTCAGTTAGCTACCAAGCCAAGTTGGTGTTGCCATACGACTTTGTATAACTGACTTACTCGCATCTGTTTTATCGATCCTTCTGTACTCAGGACTTACTTGTATCTATTTCACTGATCTTTTCATATGCAGATTTCCTTTCTTAGATCAGATATTAACCAGTATGACCGTTGAAATCCATACTACTTCACCTAACTCGGGATTTCTACCATACAGGTCCCCTGCCTATAGATCCTATCAAGATTTATTTGTGTAATGTTATGCCTTGTCGAATGCCCTGTCACACTTCTAATACCCCAATTGGTATTAGTATAACGTAATTTACAGAGTTACAACCCCAGAAATGAGCAGAGTTTACTGTAAGTTAGATACAGATGTCTAGATAATTATTCAATTCTGTATACAGTGGGATTTAAACCCTAGACCTCTTATATAGTGGTCCGGTAACTTAACTACTACACTAAGATCACCAGACCTGTGTAATAATATTTAATCTACCATAAAGTGTATCTTTAAAAACTAATCTTTCTGATATTTCTATATGCATAAGTTGGTTTTGAGCATTAAACTCTGCTGAGGTACTATCAGCACCAAATCTCAGAATTTTAAGTTGAAGTTGAGCTGCTATATCAAGTAATTTTCTATGAAGTTCAAAAATACTTGTTGCTATTTCTTTTTCTTGATTTGCAATTATTGCAATAACATACAGTGGGAATTTTAAAAGAGAAATCTATAAGAATTAATAAGTATATATAATAAAAATTAAGCATGTTTTTTATTAATAATTATTATATTATGACAGAATGAAACCTGAGTTGTGAACTAGTAAAATCTGCTATATAGATCATCTGAGGGTGAAATTTGCTTTTGTATAATAAGAAATATAGCTAAACTTAGATTTTACTCTAACCCTAACTCTAACTCAGATTTTACTAGCTCGCAACTTAGGTTTCACTCTATTATATTATATTTACCTGTAATAAGTAAATACAAACTTAAGAAGCTATAGCATTATGAGATTTGATTATATCTATGATTTGGTATATATCTTTATGTATAGAAACTTTAGTTGATTCTGTTGAAAGTGTTGAACTAACAATACAACTAAAAAAAGAAGAAAATCTAAGTCTTTCCTTAATTTTAGTATTGTCTGACATTGTGATAATTAGTCTAGTATATTTAATTGTATCTACAAGTCTTTTAACTTGTTCTATATTTTTAAAACATAACTCAGAGTCATTAAGAGCATAAGGTGAGTGTATACGATGTAATCTTAAAAAAAAATTTTTTTATTCTTATATAATTTTTAATAATAAAATAAAAACATTACATAAAAAAACAGGTCTTATATACAATATCTAATATTTTATATAGTACGTCCAGCTAAGTTTTGTCAAAAAAAATTATATATTTATGGACTAAGGCTTGCAAGTATAACTATAAAATCAGAAAATTGATCTGAATACTTAAGATTTTGAAGTCCTTTTTTATGTTGTTTTCAATCTGCAATCTGAACTATTATATTATATAAGCCTTCAAATACTTTGTTATTATTAAAACTACCGTTAATACCTATTTCTGCAAATTTCATCTAAAAAGAGTTTTCATTATTCGTATTACTATTATTTGCTAAATATAAAAGATTACCAATATCTTAATTATAGATATATTTAGCAATTGGATTGCTTCGAAGTTGAATTTTTGGCATAAACTTTTTTTTAGAATTTGGCTTATCTTGTTTTAATATAGCATTCTATATAATTATATATTTAGAATTTGGCTTGTCTTGTTTTAATATAGCATTCTATATAAGGCTAGACCAATTTAATTCAGTAGTTTATATTACATCTCTACTTTGAAAGAGAGAGAGGAAGAGGTTTTGCAAGAGTTTATATAATAAATTTTTTCAAAATAGCCTGTTTCTTTAGGGAGAGGGAGAGAGGTAACATACTACTGAATTAAATTGGTCTAGCCTAATTATATATTTAAATTAAATTTTTTACTAATTATTAAAATTATATACATACTTTAAAAACTTGATCATCTTGGACTTCTTTACAATAATCATATAAGCAAAAGGAATTAGTAGTATATTGCTTATATAAAACAGATTGTACTACTAAACCTTCAATTTTCTACTTAGATTGCTGAATTATCTCACTATCCAATAATTGCAATTCATTTTCAGAAAGTTTTTTATATTTTACAGCTTTGTTTAGAGGAAATTTTTTTGAAAAAAATTCTCGAGCAATAACCTCTCTTCTGAGTACTCTACTATGAGTGATATAAGTAAATACTTGATTGATATAAGCTTTATAAATTGGACTATTTAATCTAGTACAAGTATATCATTTTGTAGCAGACAGATTATCTTTTAAAACTAGAGGAAAAAAGTTTAAAATTGAAATGATGCTATTCTGAAACTTGTAACCATTATTAACATGACTTTTAATATAAGTTTCATTATAAGCTCATTTGAGTTTAATAACTTTTTACATTTACAAGTTGCTTGTAAACCATAGGCAGATATATGAACTACCATTGGATTTTTTAATAAACATTCCTTTGTATACTTAACCATTTTTAAAATTTTAGAAACAACATGAACTACATGTAGATACTGGTATTATACTAGTTTATTATCTAATTTATCTAATTTTTAAATGTAATCTTATACAACTTTTAATAATTTTATATATTTTTAATAATATATCAGCAATAGTAGTTATCCAGTTTTAAATATAACCTTTAAAGCAATAACTGGTTTTCAAATATAATATTTTTGTAAAAAAAATATATTTTTATTTAAAATCTCAATATAACCTCTATATATATTATTTGGGGTCTTTATTAGATTTACTGAATAATTTATTGTATGAGTAATTAAATGCAATTTTTTGAACTTAATTAATAGATTAGTAGTACAACTACAATTAGTTAATTAATTGTAATTTTTATGTAATTAGACTAGTATTTTGAGTAAAATTATATATTTCACTTGAATAAAATTTCTAAAATAGGATGAAATATACAGTATTTTGCCAAAAGACTAGAAATCTGATAATTCTGAAACTAGAAAAATATTTGAAAGTTTGAAATCTGGTAAAATATCTGAAATCTAATAAAACTAAAACTTGACAAAATGTTCAAAATCTATAATTATAAATTTGATTTGATTTTTTTTTAGAAAAAATATTCAAAGAGTAGTAAAACAAAGTTAAGAGTCTTGGCCAAAGCTCTTTCTAATTGGATAATGTAAACAAGTTCCGCAATTATCAAAAATTCTTTCTGATATAATATTCAACTAATAGAATTTTACATATATATAATTTTTAAAACCTTGTCTTGACAACTACTTAGCTATATTTGATAAAAATTTTTCACAAATTTATTAAATTCTAATTAAAAAAAATTTATCAAATTTGGTCAAATAGTTGTTGAGATATCTTTGTATAAAGTTTAAGAGAATTTAAATTTCAAAATTTTTTTAAAATTTGAGCAAAGATATTCTAATATCTACTTGACTAAATTTGATAAAAAATTTTTTTATTTAAGTTTTAAAGATATTAAAACTAAAGTTATCTCGATAACTACCTAATCAAATTTTTTATTTTGTTTAAAGTTTATAAAAAACTTCTAAATATCTATCAAAAACAAAAATACTATGCCAAAATTTTTTTTGAAGCTTTGAGTTAATATATCTCAACACCTACTTGACCAAATTTAACTAAAGGTTCTTAGAATTCAAATAAAAAAAGAAGTTAGAATTTGATCAGATATAGAGGTTAAAACTAGTTGTAAATTCAAGAATTGAATTAAATTTTTATATAAAAAGAATGTTAAGAATGTTGATCATCAGAATGATAGCGCTACTTATCAACTTTTTTGTTCCTCATTT